CATAAAAATTGTTCCATAATTTCAGGCCGAATTATGTTGATCATGGGCCAAGGTTATCTTAATGCCAGTTCATACCTAAGTTTTTTTAAAACTTTGAGCGAAGATATCTCGAAAAAATTCAACAAAAAATTTTTATTGATATTGATTAGGTGGTTATCGAGATATATTCGCTCAAAGTTTTAAAAAAATTTTAGCACAGCTTCTACTTTGATCAATGTTTTAAATTGTTTACTAACTTTAAGCATGGTGCAGATTCTATTTTAATATGATAGTCGTTTTTTCGACAACTACCTGACCAATTTCGATAAATTTTTTTTTATTTGAATTCTACAGATATATAGAATTCAAACAAAAATTTTTTTATCGATTTGATAAGATGGTTGTTGAGATATCTTCACCCAAAGTTCAAAAATCTTTTAATTTCAAGAGGGTTTAAATATCAAATTTGAGAGTACAAATATCAATTCCCTGATTAGGGTTAGGTTTAGACCTAGGGTTAGAGTATAATTTAGGCTGATTTTGTTAGTGCTAGTAAACAAAATGATGTCATGTAGATCACTGAGTTATGTTCCTGAGTTTCGAGAGGTATCATTGGTTCTGATATGAGTTTTGAGTTCCAATACGAGTTTTGAGTTCCAATATGAGTTTTGAGTTTCGATACAAGTTTCGAGTTTCGATATGAGTTTCAAGTTTCAAGAAGTTTTGAAAATAAAATTTTGTTGAAACTAGTTTTGAAACAGTTTCAATATCGATGCTCTCGAAAGTTTCGAGTTTCAAGAGGCATCATTAATCTGGTCATAAGCTATCTGATGAATCTATAGAAAAAAAATTTTTCCGAAATTAAAATTTTTTATTATCTATATTTTTTTGAGCGAAGTATTAAATATTAAACAAGTAGAATACCTTATTTAAAAATTGCTACATAGAGATAAATTACTAATATAAATTATATAAGATTAATGCTATAAACTATTTGTTCATCTTGAGGAAATATCACTCTAACATAATTTATATTTCTTTTAAGAAATGATATTTGTTCAAACAAATCTAAAATAAACAATTACATTATGTCATCATCAGTTTTAGTCATATGATTTCATTAAAACCCAACCTTTTTATTAATCAACTTCTTCAGCTCTTTGACAGATAATATAATTATATTTATTAGATATATTGTAAAAGTCTCCTGAGCTCTAATCCTACTGATCCAAAGCTGTTTTTCTTTCTATTATTATTATTATTATTATGAATTTTACTAACTATAACCTATAGTAATAATCATCTATATTATGTGACTAACTAACCTAAACTAGTAATTTTATATATATATAATAACAGAAAGAAATAAGTCAATTATAAATATCAATTTAGTATAATATTATGCAATTAGAAAAATTCAGAATCATCTAAAGCAGAGATAAATCATATAAATCAACTAATCAAATTATGAATTTTTTGTTAACCTAAATCAAAAACAGCTATCTAAATGCACTAACAAAAAATGTCAGAAAGGTAATTTTATCTATATATCTACTAACCCTAACTCTAATCCTAAAGTTAATAACAATTTTTTGATTTTATGTAACCTATCTCCATTCTCAAAATTAGTTCATAACTCAAAATTTGCATAGAAAACCATCTACATATTAATAGAATTACTAAAATATAATCTTAAAGTAAACCTTAACCCTAACATAACTGAACTTAAAGAATTTTATCAAGTATCATATAATTTGTTAGCACTCCTAGTAAAAATTCAATATATATATATCATCTGAACATACTATTTTGCATACAAAAAAAATTAAAAAATTCATTAAATATACACTTTACTGCTATAAACTATAAACTTTAATAAAAAAAAGATACGTAACAAATTTTAAGATCAAATTTCACTTTTAATGATATGTTATTACTTTGATACTATTAACAAAGCCTAAAACTAATAGTAATAAAAATGGTAATTCATCTGAATCTAACTCTAATCTCTAATATTAACAATCAAATAATTTCATATAACTCTATATAACTCAAAATTATAAATCTAATAATCTAACTCAGAATCGATTCTAACTCAAATATCAATAATAATGATTTAAAAATGTTACATAGTAATAATACTTACTTGAAATTGAAAATATTATGCTGCTTCGTTCAAAAAAAATATTATTAGTAAATTATTCAAACTTGAAGACCTATAACTATTCTCAATATGAAGGTCTGGCGATCTTAGTATAGTGGTTAGGTTGCCAGACCACTATATAAGAGGTCTGGGGTTCAAATCCTACTGTTGACGAATTTGAATAATTACCTAGACCTTTGTATCCAACTTACAGTAAACTCTATTCATTTCTGGAGTTGTAACTCTATAAGTTAAGTTGCACCAAGTCAATCGGATATTAGTAGTATGGCAGCAGTTAATCACAGGATGATATGCGCACACGAATAAATCTTGATAAGAAAAAACATTGTGTGGCAGCAGTTAATCACAGAATGATATGTGCACACAATAATATACGAGCAGAGGACCTGCATGGTAGAAATCTCAAGTTGGTGAAATAGTACGGCTTTCGACAGTCACACTAGCTAACGCTTGATCTAAAAAGGAAACTATCATCAAAGATGCAGATCAAGTTGAGTGCACATAAATCTATTCCACAAGGAGGATCGGTAACACCAACCTGGCTTGGCAGCTAACTGGATTAGGAGGATCTACCTCGTGAAATATCTGAGAAGATAGACACAGAAAACTGGTAGAGAGCTACAGAAGAAACTAGGGTTGTACGAATATCTACAAGGGTCTAAGCTAGGTGAGTTCATAAAATGGGTACAGGCCGCTCTAGTAGGTTTGCTTCAAGATTAATCAGAGCTCTGCATGCTCACAATATGATGAGCAATATGTATCCCGAGAGGACCTAAGCTGGTGTCGAAAAATGGATCTGTAACGAGCTAGCTGGCATATGCGATTAGGTGTTATAGTGATATTAGTTTGTAATGGAAATAGGTTAGTTGAACAGAGTGTTTAAATAGGTAACTCACAGGCGGGTTGCAGGTATAGCAGCATAGTGTAGTACTAACAGGTGGTCTAACGCCTGTATAGCGGACTACTTAAATTAGACAATGACTAAAGTTGTACGTGTAGCTTGTTGTACACTCTTTATATAACTGAAAACTGTAGGGAAACCCCATATAGGACCTCATATATCAAATTAATAAAAATCGCCCGGCAATGTAAGCCACCTTAAAAAATTATAAAAAAAAAAATTATAACTATTCTCAATATAATTCAAAAATGTAAAATATTTAAGTTCAAATTAATTTTGCTATAAATATATATAAATTATACTTGACTATTACAAATTATACCAATTGCAATAAATTATATCATAGCACTATTCTAATATTTATATATATACAACTCTTATATATATCTCATAACTATTCTTGCTATTTATATATATATATATTATGATCTGTTCTACCACATGTATTTTATATATATTTTCTCTTATAATCTTCTGTATTGTTGTCTACAGAATTATTATTATTTGAGTTTGAATTAATATTTGACAAAGGAATTCTTAAATTAAGATCTTAGGAATTAATTGCACTATGATTATATGCTGATCCTTTATAGCTTTGCATCTCAGAAGAACTTTTTAGATATTTTGTTACTAGTCATTTCTGATGCTTTATAACTAGAAAATCTATAATAACTACTTCTTCAGATTGACTAGAATGGGTACTTTCAATGTTAATATTTTCAAATTCAAACTTTTTTTGTTCAACAAAATGAGTAATAATATCAATTAATTTCTTTTTACAACTGAGATCCAAAGCAGTATTGAGAGCCTTTTTCATTTTTCTGAATCTATTAGTATATCTAACCTTTTTGTTAGCTATTTGTTGACCTTTTGTATTATGTATATTAGCATCTCTAATTTGTTTAATAATATGAAGGTCTAGAATGATAATATCTGTAGCTTTTTGTTAGAAGGTTGTTGAAATATCAATACCTTGTTGTAAATCTATTTCTTTATCTTGCCATTCATCTTAATACCAGTGTCTTGCCACTAACCTAATATAAAACTTTGCTGTTTTGGTGTTCATTATTACTTGAAAAAACTGTGTATATATAATATCGCGATTTATAAAAGCTATACAAGTACATAAATATCTACTATCACTCAACAATATAATATAATACTTGTAAGCTGATGACAATTCAAATAGCTCCTAGACCTCAACTATATCATTTAGATTAATATCCTTTATAAGAGCAATAATAGATATTTGCAGTCTATCAAGTTGGTCCTCCAAAAAACTATTTTTATAATCTAATTGGCTTTCCTAAAAAAAAAAAAAACTTTGAAATATAAATTACTACTGATCAAAATTAAGAAATTCGATATATTGAATTTTTTAATTTTAGCTAGTATATAAAACTGATCAAACACAAATAAAAATAAACTTTTAACCTGAAATTCTTAAATATCTTGCTTTGTTTATAGTTATGCATAGTATAAAAGAGATCTAATAATTTGCTAATATTGTATAGATAATATTTAAGGTATCAAATATAACTTTAATATTTCTAATATTTTTGAAAATATTGACTTAGTAATTGATAGCATTTGATTAGTAGGAAGAGAATTTAAATAGTTATTATACTGTGACCATTTTGCTTCATTATCTAAGAGATCCTGTATATGTTAGTGAAAGTTATGTAAAGAAAATATACTTTTGATATTATTTTTGATTAGCTTGTTCATTACTTCAATATGTTGAGTACTTTGAATACCTGCTATAAAAAATTTTAATTGATAATATTATGCTCATGACCTTATACAACCTTGTAATGCCCTATCAAAATAACTTTGTAATTGAGGATACTTGTTTAACAAGTATGACTACCTTCTGTTAAAGTCTTCTTCAAAAGTACTATTTTGCACATATAAAAATTCCTTATAGAACTCATCAAATTGCTTACTAAGCTTACTTCTTAAATTTTTACAGATATTCTTCTGAATATAAAAGATATACAAAAAGTGATATGTTTGAGGTAATTTTAGAGCAATAGTACTAATTAAAGCATGTTCTGTATTAGAAAATAAAGAAATTAGTAATATATTATTAGTTGTATCTATAATATATTCGAGAAACTATTTATATAACTCTGTAGTTTTATTATTAGACAATACTTGAGCTACTAGTCATAACCTTGTATTATTATTAATAACTACTAAAAGTGTAAGATACATGTCAAACCAATTGGTTTAACATGTTATTAGTCTAAACAACATCGATATAATAGATCAAATATTGTTGTTGCATAGGTGACATCCAAAATAATCCTAATAATTGATTGTTATATAGATCTAAACAAATGTGAATAATCTAGCCAGAGTCCTGATTTTTAAGCTGTAATAAATAATTAACAAATTGTTGTGTTTTACTATGACATTAATTTAATAGTTTTCTAAACTTTTAAACAAACAATAAATAAAAAGCAAAATAGCTTGCATAAAAAAAAAGAAAAAAATAAAATAAAATAAAGGAAAGAAGGAAAAACTTTTGAATAGCATTATATAGGTCACGTTTATATATTATATAATTAGAAAATTGTGTTATCAAAAGTAGTAACATTTGTTTAAATCCCATATTTCTGTTTATAATATAAAATTCTATTTTTTCTAAGATTTCAGAAGATAATATTCTATATTTTGAAGCATATAAGGTAACATCTAATTGTATTTGGTGCTTATACTCCTCTACTATACTTATAATAGTTACACATGAAGATAATTTTAGATATGATAGATTTATATACCATGAACATGAAGTCTTTACTGAATTTCTATTATACTGTCTAGAAATGTCAATAATCTAATTGCTAATTGCTTCATTAGAATATAAGCACTCAAATATCTGTTGCTGAATTTCACTATCTTTATTAGTTTTTACTTGTTTTCAGTATAAAATGAACCCCATAGCTTTAGCATAACTATTAAGATATACTTCAGCTAAATCTTATGATGAGAAAGAAGCATCTACTGAGAGTTGAAAGTTCTGATTATTATCTGGCTCTATTTTTACAAGTAATTCTGTTGTTCTAGATGTTTTACTAGTTACTAACTCTACAGTTATATCATTAGTAGTTTCAAAATTAATTGAAAAACGACTTGTTAATTCTGATGAAATTATACCTAAAACCTCTAGTAAAATATGTTAAAAAATAACCGATAAAACTAAAGTATTTGTAAGGTATAACAAAATTAATATGATTATAGTTTACTTTCTATAATATTTTTTATAACATGTTAGCAAACTAAAAAAAAAAAAAAAAAAAAAAAAAAAAAAAAAAAAAAAAAAAAAAAAAAAAAAATATAAAAAAAAAAAAAAAAAAAAAAAAAAAAAAAAAAAAAAAAAAAAAAAAAAAAAA